GATGTGTGTGTGTGTTGTGTGTATGGTATGTGTGGTGTGTGTGTGTGGGGGTGTAGGGGAGTGTGTAAGATGAGGATTGTTTGTTCTTTCACTTTTGTGTATGTGTGTTGGGGTATCAGTGGTAACCAGAAGAGGATCCCAAACCCCTTAGAGCTAAGCTGTCCTGCCACAGGTGCTAGGAACTGAACCTGGGTCCTGGAGAGGCATCAAGAACTCTTTGAGCCATCTCTCTAGTCCCTGGAGTGCTTTGTAAGTGAGAAAGGCCGTGTCCGTTCTTCAGCTCTCAGGTAAATTGGGAGAGGACATTAAGCAGTTTCTCTGTGTGTAGAGTCTTCTTGGTACATTTTTTGATGAAGTATAATTTTCTCTGTTAACAAAATCATTTTCCTCAGTTCTGTTCTACACTTTTAAATTTTTCTTCAACTAGAGGTTCTTGTTTGTTATTTGTAAATCTCATGTCAATCATCTGATGTAAGTTTTTAAAAATATGTGTGGGTACGTATGTGTGTGTTGTATCACGTTGAGCTGTCCTAGCTAAAGCATGTTTGTTTTATTTTAGGATGAACTTACTGACATTGAGCCTTTGAGTGAAGATGCCATCATCACCGGATTCAGGAACGTGACTCTTTGTCTCAACCCTGAGGACACTTGTGACTTTGCTAGGGCAGCTCCTTTGGCATCCACCCCTTTCCATGAGCTACTGTCCTTGAAGGGCATCGCTTCTGATCCTGAGGGACTGTTGCAGGAGGAGGATCTGGATGGGAAGGCCACTGAGGGTCATCACACTGTTCATCACCCAGCCCTCAGCGTGAAGAAGCTGAGGTAATTTGAGTGTTTTTCTCTTGGTCTGTGTGCTTATCAATTACAGTGACCAGGTATCGGGCTCTTACTGTCTACTGAATGCTTAATGAGAGAGTAAGTCTTGCAGGTACGGTGTTGGAGACGGTTACTGATTGGTTTGGAGTTGAGGATTAGAGGAAGTACGTTGTGATGATTATGAGGCTCAGCAGTTAGAGCCCTTCCTTGTAGAGGACCTGGGTTTGATTTCCAGCACCCACATGATAACTCTCATCCCTGTAACTCCAGTTCTAGGGTATCCATTGCCCTTTTCTGACCTCTCCATGTACCAGACACATGCATGGCACACAAGGTTATGAGCACAATGCTCATATACATATAAGAAATAAACCTAAAATAGGCTTTTTATTAAATCTATTTCTGATTTGGGAAAAATATACTCTAAAAGCGAGACTAATAAAAATCAATTCTATTACAAGATGAGTTCAGTATAAAATTTATAATTTAAAAATGTATAAAGTTGGGCTCTAAAGAGATAGCTGTGGGGAAAAGCATTGGCTGCTCTGGCGGAACTCCCAGGCTCAGTTCTTAGCACCTACAGTGGTCCCTCCCACCCTCTGAACCCCATTTCCATGGACTTGACACCATCTTTTGGTTCTGTGGCTGCTGTCCCCACACTGGTGCACTGACATGCATGCAGGCAAAACGTGTGTAAAAGCAAATGGATCTTTATTAAGAGAATATGTAAAGTTCTGACAGAAGTTGGTGCATGGTATTCCTGACAACAGCTTCATTCTTGTTTTTTGCAGCCCAATTATTGAAGACAGCCGTGAGGCCACCCACTCGTCCGGCTATTCCAGGTCTTCTTCCTCAGTTACCAGTACGTCCTCCATCAAAGGCTTTCAGGTGCTGGAAAAGCTGGAGCTGACTAATGACGCAGCAGAAAATGCTATTCAGTCACCCTGGTGTTCACAGTATCGCCTACAACTGTTAAAATCCCTACCAGAGTTAAGTGCTTTTGTAGAGTTTTCTATGGAAGATAGACCGATGCCTATGCTGGAGATTGGGAAAGAAATTGAGTTAGGTAAGTAGTGTTGAGTACTTGTCCGTTTGCTTGTGACAGCATATACAAATAAGTGATGATTTTATAACTCTAAGTGTTCCTAGGTTGTAGTAAATGGCATTAGAGAGGTTAACACATTGATAAACTCATGGCACAGTAACGGTAGTACTTGATTTGCCTCTTTTAATTTTTTTTTAGATTTATGTATTTTACTTAATGAATGTTTTGCCTGCATGTATGTGATGCCTGTTAGAACTGAGGTTACAGATGGTTGTGAGCCAGCATGTGGATGCTGGGAATTAAACCCAGGTCCTCTACAAGAGTGCTAAGTCCTCTTAACTGCGGAGCCATCTATCCAGAGCTCCTTTGGATTTTTATATAAATGACTTTGAAAGGTATTCTAGATGCCACTTAATGGCCAAAACATTAGCACCTCTCACACTTAAGCCAGGGGGTAAAGTGTAAGGACCTACATATATTCACAGTGACTTTAAAATGGAACCAAACCTTCTCAACAGGTCATGAAGATTACTGCATCAAGCAGGAGCACCTGACATGTGAAGATTACACATTATTCTGGGTGGCACCAAGAAACTCTGCAGAGCTAACCATGATAAAGGTGAGATAGACCCTTTGTAATTTTATCACCTTGTCAATCAGCAAAGAAGATAGTGTGTCCTTATGGTGCTGTAAAACCTGGGAAATCACTGAGACACAAAAGTCAGTCACCATTCTGTGGCAGGATCAGAGCTACTAAGAAATGAGGGACGGTTGTGTACAGACTCTCTTGTGTTTAAGCACACTAAGCATTCTCCTGGCTTTATCTTTCTGAGGAAATACGCCCTGGAGTGTGTGGACTGCTCTGCTCAGGACAGGTTGTATTTTAGTCTTTCACACAGCGAGGACCGCCTTGAAATCTCCATTCACCATCACTGTGGGCAAGCCTCGTTTTATTTTTCTTGTATTGGAACCCAGATACCTTTGCCCTCCCATTTTTCTTGGTTTAATTTCTCTTATTTTGGAAAAGTACATCCTTTATTACCTTCTGGGTCTGAAAATTCCTTATTCTCTGTCTTTTCAGGATTGGTAGTATGACTGGATACAGATTTTGCTTTAGAATTTTTAAGCCTTTTTTTTATAACTATGCTTGATTTTATTTGCTTTCTTATTGTTATTTGGTTGACTAGGTTTTGGTGTATTTTTTCCTACAGTTTTAGAAACTGAATATAGGCATTGCATAGGCAAATGTCACACTACCGAACCATATCCTCAACTCGTCATCTTTGAAGTCTTTTGCCATCCTGATCTTTTTTTTTTAAGCTCAGCAAAGCAATTTTGTTTGTAAAAGGATGTGCTAGACCCTAAACCAAGCACAGTTGCACATAGACACTCACTTAGTTTTTATTCTAGTGTATGTGGTGTCCTGGTGACTGTGTCTTTTCCCAGTTGGCTGGGGTCGAGCCTCACACAGTCTTTAGCTTTTGGCTAGTATTAAAAGAACTAGGATGAAGGGAGGATGAAGGAAAGGGGGTCAGGAGTCAGCCTCTCTGCCACCAAGTTTACAAGTGCAGTGGGGCTTTTGTATGAACACGAGTTCACCCTAGTGGGAGTCAATTGTCTTGGTGTTGTAAGATAAAGGTCATTATGTAGGTCTGGTTGGTCTCAAACCAGTAATCCCCCTGTCTCTGCCTCCTGCGTACTTGGATTTCAGGCATGTGTCACCATGTCTAGCCATCATTTTAATTCTAGTGGCTTTGTATGAAATTTCTCCCTTTCTCTAGATCCTGGAAGTCTTGTTTGTGGCTGGCATGTAACAGTCCCGTGCTTTGATATAAGTCTGTTGTCACCCGTGTGCCAGGCAGACGGTCAGCACACGTCTCAGTCTGGGAGCTCTTGTAGTCTTGACATTTTCTTTGATTAAAAAAAAAGACATTTCTTTCAATTTTCTGCTTTCTCAATTTGTAATTCCTCATATTGGGGCATATATTTCCCTATATAATTATTTCTTTGTTTAGCATTTATTTACTTGTGTTCATATGTATTGATCAGAGGACAGTCTGTGGGCCTTCTCTCCCATCATATGAGTTGGTGAACTGAATCTCTGAAAGAAGGCTTCTCATTTTCTGCCTGACTCTGGCGTAAGAAGGTGATGGAAGAGAGAAGCAACATGGAAGGTTCCACATGTGACAGAAATGTGCCTTCCTAGCTCCCACCCCATCCCCCACGGCACCTAGTCTAGGCCTGTTGCTTTACACCTGGAAATGATCTGTCTCAGAGGAGGACCGGTTGTCGAGCTGGGCTACAGGAGCAGGAAGGAGAATCTGGAGACTGAGTCTTCTTCAGTGGGGCTCAGGCAGTCTTGGAGCTACAGCAACCTTACAGCTGCTGGTTTTCCGCAGTAGCGCCTGTGTGCCGTGGCTGCTGGCTGGTTCCCACCGCTGTTAGGACAGAGTTTCTTGTGTCTTCTAAGTGCATTAACTCTATGTCTTTCCAGCTTGCAGAGCTACATTGCGCCTGTGTCCTTTCTCACAGCTTATGCTTTAGTGTTTGTTGATGGTAGTTTGTTTTTGGCATTTTAAACAAAGTCTCACTGTAGCCCTGGCTGGCCTGGAACTCACAGTGCAGAGTGTCAGGACTAAAGGGTGCTCCACTCTATCTGGCCAGATTATGCTTTTAAATTACTTTTTACTTTACATTCGTGGAGTGTCAGAGGGGCTGTGTGGTGCTTTCAGTAAAGGTGGCTCATCGGTTATGTATTTGGATGCTCAGTCACCAGGAGTGTAACCTTTTGATAAGATTAGAAAGATTAGGTGTGGCCTTGTTGGAAGGGTGTCACTTGAGTGGGCTTTGAGGCTTCAAAAACCCATGCCAGGCCCAGGGTCTCTCTCTGCCTAAGCATCAGGATGTAGCTTTCCCCTAGCTCTGCAGCACCAGCACGTTGGTCTGCAGGCCGCCGAAATGATAAGGAACTAAGCCTCTGAAACTATAAGCACACCCCGAATTAAATGTTTTCTGTTATGAGAGTTGCATTGGTCATGGTGTCTCTTCACAGCAATGAAACAGTGACTAAGACAGGCTGGAAGAAATGTGGAGGGTCTTGTTGTTTTGTTTGTTTGTTTTAGACAGGGTCTCACTCTGAAGTCCTGGCTAGTCTGGAGGTGAATAAATAAACCAGGCTAGCCAAAACTTGTGTTATTTTTCCTATCTCTGCCTCCTAAGTTCTACAGTTTTTGTTATTTTTTTTTCTTTGGGGTTGGTTAGTTGGTTTTAGTTAGCATACAATTATACATACATATATATATACATATTATATATATACATATTATATATAGGGATGTGTGTGTGTGTGTGTGTGTGTGTGTGTGTGTAATTGCATTTTACTCTTACTTGCTCCCTCTGGCACCCTCCCTGGCCTCCCCATTGCTGCCCTCCTCAGAGCTCCCTGCTGCTTTCATATGTAGTTGAGATTCTGTGTATCATAGCAGACGTAGTGTGTTTGTGTGTCTGGCTCATTTTAGTTAACATAACCTCCATTTCTATCCACTTTCTTACAAATATGATTCTGTTCCTTTTGACTGAGATGTATTTTCCAGCTGGCCATGGTAGTACACACTTTTTATTGTAGGAGGCAGAGGCAGGTGGATCTCTGTAAGTTCAAAGCTAGTTTGTATGGTGTTGCATGTAACTTTAAAAGCATGTTACCACCTTAGCCTGGGAGCTGCAAATGCGCTGCAGCCCCACCCCTGCCCTCTTCCCAGCCCCACCCCTGCCCTCTTCCCAGCCCCACCCCTGCC